TGTTGCTGGAAATGTGAGCAACACTGAGCGTGAACCATTAGGTGGGGTTTCCAGGAATTGTGATGTAGGAGCTCTTCATGTGGCCGTACAAGCGCCAACAGAAACCCTGCCAGTGTCATGTAGCGAGGATGGCAGGGCTGTGTCTACCTGTTCTGAGGGAGCAGATAAGGAAATTCGATACCATGTTAATGATTTAGAGAAACCAGAGACTGTTTCCTGTGTGGCTTATATAACCGAGCCTTTTGACTCCCAGTTGAATGCGTCTGAGAATTGTGACCATGAACCCACTCTAGTTGGTGAGGACGCCACTGTGAATTCTAGGCATGGGAACTTAGACCCAGAAATTAACCCTCCTCCATTCCGTGAGGGCAGGGCACCTGTTTCCACCTCTGCCAGGAATAATTCAGTCCAGGACCTGAGACCAGGTGGTGAACTGATAAACGGTGAGTACATGGGCACGTTAGCCAAGAAGGTGTATTGTGTGTCTGAACATGCTCGGCCTGAGACAGTCATGACTCATGCTAGAGGGTCTATGGATAACCTGGACTGTGTTCTGGATGCTGTGAGAGGTGAGCAAACTGTGTTAGCTGACCCGACTTTTTCCCTGAGCGACACTCTGTCGAAGTCATGTTATGAGTCAGAGGAAACTGTGATTAGCTCCACAGTGAGGGCAGCCAAGGGCAGCAGAAGCCACGTTAATGGCTTAAAAGGACAAAGTTCTGTTTCAGGTGTTGCTCCCTCAGCCACACCCCATGAAGCTAATGTTCCCAAGGCTGAGATTGAAGTGCAGTCTACTTTGGTTTTCTCTGACATGACGAATAACATTGTATGTGTTACTGATCGTGACACTGGAAACATACCCCTAGGCAATATTTCCACTAGCAGCCATGTGAATGTCGTCCATGTGACCAAGTCTTCTCACATCAAGCCTGAGACAATGAACTCTGAGTTTAAAGGTTCTAAGACTGTTGACTCAGGAGACATTGTGTTCTCAGAGTCTAACGCCGGTACTGTGAACAATAAAAGCGTTCACTTTCTTGACCCCTGTTTGAAGATTGCGGGTGCTAAGGACAGTTCTTCACCTGCCCTCTCAGAGCGTGGAGTTATGTCCCAGCGGTCTGTTTAGCCACAGGCTTCAGCCCGGCTACCTGCTCAGCTTCCAGGTCGGCATCCCGCTCTGATGTTTGCTCAGCCACTTGTGCAGGCCCTGACACAAACACCTCCATGTCCACTACAGCTCCCTGTCCAGTTAGCGGCTCAGCTCCCTGCCCAGTTAGCGGCTCAGCTCCCTGCCCAGTTAGCGGCTCGGCTCCCTGCCCAGTTCGCAGCCCAACCTGCATCTGCTGCTGGATGCCCGGGTGTGCCAGGCCGGCACCCCGCAGCGACGTCAGCTGGAGGGCCCGAGGAGCCCGTCCAGCCTCATGCCACGTCAGCTGGAGGGCCCGAGGAGCCCATCCAGCAGCCTTCCTTGTCTGCTGGTGGTTCAGGAGAACCACACCAGCCTCATGCCACATCAGCTGGGGGGCCCGAGGAGCCCATCCAGCAGCCTTCCTTGTCTGCTGGTGGTTCAGGAGAACCACACCAGCCTCTTGCTACGTCAGCTGGAGGGCGATAGGGAATATTTGTTGTTATTGTTGTGATCAAGTTTGTTTTATAATTTCAAA